ACAGGAGACACAGGGAAACATACAGGAGGACATTCTGAAACATACCTTAATCCAGTCCCTTATAGAGTCTTCCTCAGACAGACTGAGGGGTTGGCAGAACATTATGTAAAAAGTGGAACCGACTTTGCTTTTTATAACTATTCCAAAGGCTACAAATACCTCAAAGCTACAAATATGTAGACTTGCACACTCAAACCTGTGTTTCTCCTGCCCCTCTCCAAGAGATCAGAGGCAAGCTGAGGCCTCTTAGGAGTTCTGCCAGCTGGAGACGGTGCCTGGTTTTTCCAGCACAGTTGAACGATTCAGAGTGAGAAGGCTGGGGAGGCTCTGGGAGCAGCAGGCCTGTGTTAGAGCAGCGCGCGAGAGCAAGCTGTTTCCCTTAGAATGCAGATGAGCGGTGAGATGGCTGGCTTTGTCTGCGCTGCTGCCAGCTGGATGCTTTGCCCGCAGATGTGGACTGTTTATCTGCGGGTTTGGTATGTTTTTCTTCTTTTCCTAGGACAGGGTGGGGTGGAGAGCAAAAAACTGAAAATTGATAAGACAGGAAAACCAGCAGGGGAAGAACTGACTTCCTTTAATTGCTAAGAATGTTGAAGTCATTTCTCAAAATTAGTCCTAACTCCTAAATTATTTTTCATGTCTCATTATTGAATGTGTTACATAATGCCCAGCAGGTATAATGGGCTTCAGTGGAAGAGGGAGTAAGAAGTGAGGAATTTGCCCTGGCCAGGTAGCTCAGTTGGTTAGAGTGTTTTCCCAGTATGCCAAGGTTTCGGGTTCTGTTGCCAATCAGGGAACATAAGAAGCAACCAATAAATGCAACCAATAAATAAGTGGGACAACAAATCTCTCTCTCCCTCCCCACTTCCTCTCTCTCTCTCAAAAAAATTAAATAAAAAAATCATTAAATAAAAATTAAAAAAAAAAGAAGTGGAACTTTTCTGTGAGCATACAGCGCTTACCAGAACCACTCTCCAGGGCAGTTCCTGTTTCATGTCTTAACTAATCCCTGACATGCTGGTCATGTCAGCCAGACAGGGTGAGGAATTGTTCGGGCCCCTTTTCTCCTTTTGCCTTTTCCTCCTTTGACTAGATCGAATAGGACAGAGGAACAGGAAGGGGTGGAAAATTCATTGCAGTAAGCTTTGTGGGTGGGAGCCAGGATCAGTACTTTGTTTTAACTTCACAAATATATATTATTTATTTTAAATAGCTTTATTGAGATATAATTCATATGCCACATGAAAGTGTATAGTTCATTGGTTTTTAGTATATTCTCAAAGTTCACAAAGTAAATATAACTACAATCTAATTTTAGAATATTTTCACCACCCCAGAAAAAAACCCTTTGCCCATTCATGGTTATTCCCCATTCCTCCCACTACCCTCAGCCTCAGGCAGCCACTAATCTGCTTTCTGCCTCTATAATAGATTTGACTATTCTGTCCATTTTATATAAATAGACTCATACAATTTGAGTTCCTTGGTGACTCGCTTTGTTCACTTAGCATATGTTTTCAAAGTTCACCCATATTGTAGCATGTGTCAGTATTTTGTGCCTTTTAATGGCTGAATAATATTCCATTGTATGGATATACCACATTTTGTTTATCCATTCATCAGTTGATGGGATTTGGGTTGTTTCCATTTTTTTAAGTGTTAGGAATAATGCTCTTTTGAACATTTGTGTAAAAGTTTTTATGTGGGTGTATATTTTCATTTCTCTTGTGTATATATCTAAAAGTAGAATTCCCAGATCATATGATAACTCCTTGTTTAACATTTTGAGGAACTGTCATACTGTTTTCCACGGTGGTGACAATTTTTTATCTGACCCACACATTGGTTATTATCTGTCTTTTTTATTGTAACCATTCTATTGGGTGTGAAATGGTATCTCATAGTGGTTTTGATTTTCACTTCCCTAATGACTAATGATGTTGAACATACTTTCATGTGCTTATTGGCTATGTGTCTATCTTCTTTAGAGAAATACCTATTCAGATTCTTTACCCATTTTTAAATTAAGTTGTTTTTTATTATTGAATTGTAAGAGTTCTTTATATATTCTATATATTAGATATATACCCTTATCTATATGATTTGCAAATATTCTCTCCCATCCTGGGGATTGTATTTTCACTTTCCTGGTAGTGTCCACAAAAGGTTTTAATTTTTATGAACTCCAGTTTATTCATTTTTTCTGTTATCACTCTGCTTTTCCTGTTGCATCTAAGAAACCATTGCCTAGCCCAAGATCATGAAAATTCACTCCTGTTTTCTTCTGTGAGTTTCATAGTCTTAGCTCTTATGTGCAGGTCTTTGGTCCATGTTGAGTTATTTTTTGTGCATGATGTGAAGAAAGGGCCTGTGTGAAGTTGTTCCATCACCATTTCTTTGAGAAGGTTATTCTTTCCCAGTTAAATTATCTTGGCACCCTTTTTGAAAATCAGTTGAATATAAATGAGATAGTTTATTTCTTGACTCTCAATTCCGTTCTATTGATCTCCATGTCAGGGTCAGTATTTTGAAAGCTCCCCAGGTGATTCTATGTACATTTGGGGCTGAGAACCACCTGGCTGGGGTAGGGAGTTTGGATGGTTTGATTGGCAGGGAGCACAACGCAAGGTTGCAGGAATAACTATTACAGATATGCAGACCATCTGTTCTTAACTAAGCCAGTGTTTTTCAGACTTGCCTGATAAAAATCACCAAGGGTGCTTGTGAATAATAGATTTCTGGGCCTCTCTGCACTGGGGAGCCAGGGCCTGGGAAAGGGTGGGGAGGGAGACGTCTTTGCATGTGGCCTGTGATTCTGGGCTCTTCCACATGGACATGTCTTCCCAATTCGTTGCCAGTTGGTCAGAGTCTTCAGGAACTTTTATGTCTAATGAATGTTCCTGGTGAGTCTTATGGTCAGGGTAGCTGGGACAATGCTAAATCTGCCAAGTCAGACCAGTAGAAGCCTACATACTTGTACTGTGGTCCTTCCACAGAACGCTATTCCCAAGGTACTCTTGGGGTAAAGCCATAGCTCCGTCTTAAGGGAGATGACAAGAAAGCCCCATGCAACTTCCTGCCGTATTTACTGTGAACTCTTTCCTGGCTACCTTATTCAATATTGCCTCCTGCCATATACACAGATATTGTTACACCCGCATTTCCTCCCCATCTGCCTTGTTTATGTTACTTAAATTTCCCTTTTCAAGAACATTTAACTTATGTCTGCCTCACTAGATTGAAAACTTCATGTGAGAAGGTATTTTTAGTTGACTGCAACACCTCCAGTAGTTGACTGCAACATCTCCAAGAACAGAGCTTGGCACACTATAGACATTCAACAGATATTTGCTAAATGAGTGGAAGAATGTTGATGAGGTTGAGGAATGAAGAGAGAGACTTCTCTGTTTTGGTATCAGCAGTAGTCATTCTGCTTGGTTTTACCACAAGACGCTGTGAATCACAACAGTATGTATTTCTCTCTGCAGGAGCCACTCAGAGATTAGTGCCACATTCATGTCCCCTGTAACATGTGTGTAGGGCAGGACTTACCTGTCATGTACTAACCTCTAACCTTATTTAAGTCATCTGGTTGTATTGTGTGCATCTTTACACAAATACAAACCGTCTTTGGAAACTGGTACGCTATAAAGAAATTATTTAATCCGCTTGATGAGAATTTCTTAATTTTGGTCATTCCTATTCATCTGGGAAATTAAAAGCTTGGGTTCTAGGTGGAAGGAGAAATTTTTAAAAAATCAAATTCCTACCCTAGCCGGCTTGGTTCAGTGGTTAGAGCGTTGGCCGAGGATTCAAGGGTCCCAAGTTAGATTCGAGCCAAGGGCACGTACTTTGGTTGCAGGCTTGATCCCTGGCCCTGGCTGGGGTGCATGAAGGAGGCAACACATCGATGTCCCTCCCTCCCTCCCTCCCTCCCTGAAAAGCAAGGGAAAAAATGTCCTCAGGTGAGAATTAAAACAAAAAAAATTGGAGTATTATCTATACACTTCGTATCACTGAAAATTTCACTTTTATATACACTCATATACCCTTCTCTGTCCACACATCCTACCAGTAAAAGTATATCATAATTTTGCACAAATAAATATTCATGTAAATACTAATCCAATTTGAGTTATGTAGTATATTATGACTATAATGACAATTTTTCCATTTCTGCTTAACCCCCCCATTTCCTCAAAATTTCCGTAAGTTTTGCA